CTACCAACATTGGATTTGTAGTGGTTATGGCGGATGGGTTCAATCAAAACAAGGATTATTTGTCGCGTTGTCAGAAGGATGAATCATACCATATGCATACGGCTTAGGATGATGATGGATTGGAGGAAGTGACAAAAGGGCTTTATACCTTTGACGAAGGAAGGTGTTTCACAGCTACGGATGATATTGGGAATACTCGAGCCAAAGTATACAGCATCTATTTTGCAATCATGGATGAAGGATGATAATGGGGGCAGCAATCAAGAATAGAATGGCACAATTATCCCTGTTCCCTCTATGTGATCCACCCGCTTCTTATTCAATGCTGTTCTTTTATCATATTTGCTCGATAAACATCCACAGTACCGTGTGCTGGTACGTGCTCTTCGACTTTTTATTGAATGAAAATTGGATCCAACATAATACTTTGGGTATCGTACGATCATCTTAGATGTGAAAGGGGTGGATCACTTGGTTATTTCTGCATTGAAGGGAATGGATATCATATACTTGGTAGGAGGTTACACAACAGGCACAATAGGTTGCACAAGTTGGTTCAGGAGTAGAGTTGCATAAGCCATTGATTCATGTAATGCGCACAGACCTAATGCTTAATTACGAGAGCTGTTCTCAATAGAAGTCTTGAGCAGTGATCATTCTTATTGAGCTAAGAGCATAGGATATTGTTGAGGGTACGTATAAACAGTAATAGCTGTAGCCAGCGGGGTGGCATGGAGTGCACGAATTGGAGAGAACACGAGGAACAAAGAGACCACTCTTCTTCACTTCCACTTCACAAAAAAAGGTAAGCTTGTCTCCATTTACGAACTACAACGCGTTGATTGCTGGCATTCCTTACAATGTACAGCGTTCATTGAGGTGAACATGTGGTCAATGGAGACACTTTCCAGCTGCAGACATTCAGCAACAAGTACGCGCGCGATCTGCCCATGACTCAAGCTTCCATTGCAATACAACATGTACGTTCAATCGCTGCATTACTTTCTTATTCAAGTTGGACATTGTGGTTCTAAAGTTCACGTGTAGTTTGCTGTTCCCGCATTTATACGAGATCCAAAGGGGGCGTCGTGTGTCGTGTGTATACTTTCCATGGTTGTCGTCAGGGAGGGCCGCAACCTATTGTTACTATGAGTATGTCGACATGAAAAGCGAATGTTATTGTTACCTTACACTTCACTTACTGTAGCTTGGACATGTTGGATTATGGTACCTCTGGCAGCAACAGGATACGGATCTCAAAGCAAGAATGCTGTATGGTTGGCTTAATGGTATGCGTGGTATTGGATCTACAAAGCAAAACATGTTAATTAACGAGCCTTGCAATGAAACAGCAGCAGCACCTACTGGATGGCATGGATATACGGTTTCTATTTGAGGCAAAGATGCTATTTAGAATACCACAAGGTAAGAGTGTTCATTATGATGGGATTGGTTGGATTCAAGTGGACTTACCAAACGCCATACAGTGGCAGAGCCTCTTTCGGGGATACTATTATTATCAAGGCTGCACGTCAAGGATGTCATTGTATAGTACTATGCTCTCCTGGGGAATTTTGGCCCGGAAACAGTGTGACTCAAGATGCGATGGCAAGGCCAATTTGAAAAGGCATCCGCTGTGCACACGGCCTCCATCCAAGTACGGCTATTGATTTCCTTGCCTACAGAGAGAAGGTGGATATCTCTTATGATGCCAATTTCAGGATCCAATGAGAGTATGGTACATATGGTGGCATACCTTGGCGTTGCAGGTTGATTATTGTATTGCCTTCGGATGGTGTATTTGGTTGCAATTCCTTTTGATCACCATGGTTCAGGTATGTATGATTATGCTGCTTTGGAGACTTTTGCTGAAACGCCTTCCATTATTTAGAGGGACCATTGCAGAGAGCTGCTTGTCTTTTGGTGCTTTGGAGTTTACAAGATCACAGCTATGATTGCTAAGTATTATTCGATGGGTTTGGACAATTGTTTATGGTGCATCTTTTATAGGTGAATCATGTCAGCCATGGGAAAGTGTTTATGTCTTTGGTGGTGTCAACCTTTATTGCGTCTCGGGTGGCTGGTTACCAAGCAATGGGCGATTCCTCTGGAGAATGTCAGCCAATGAACGTCTTTTAGGAGTGGATTGTATCAGCAACAAGTAACAGCATCCATATCAAGCTTTATCCCATCATCTGGTTTTCTCGTTATCGGCAATTCGGTGGGCGTCCTGAAATGAAGTTCTCTTATCGATTGATCACATCAGCAGCAAGGAACAACTTGTATATCTTTGATATCAGCAACCTTTCGATCTTCTGGTGGTTCTGGTTATCGGCAATCCCTTTGATGGATCTCTACAACTATACGTGTCTTATGGATGGATCATGTCATCAACAAGCAATGAAGTCCCGCGTTCGAATCTTTTGTGTTACCAAGTCATTCATGCATCTCGTCAAGGACTCCGTCGTCAAGCTGCATTCCATGCCCAATGAAAAAGGATTGGTATCTCATTCATATCGGCTATATCACTGAGTGTACTCCCTTCCGCAGCTAGGATGCTGGTTTGGGCTTTTCGATGGACGATTTTTCGGTTTGCATGTGGTCTTGGGCAGCACATTGGTTCGTTCTCGCTCCTTGTAAGGGCTCTTCGGCATCATGTAAGTATGCTATCTTTGGTGGTACAAGTATTACTCAACCTTCTCACTGTATATTCCCATCAAGTATCGTTCCATCGCTTACAACCCGGGTGCCAACGTAGCGGGCTTATCAGCAAGAGAATGATTGCAAAAGTCGGCTAGATTTGGATATCAGCAGGATTTCGTGCATACATGGGTATCATTGGTAAATAGTGAGCCATTCGTTTCTACAACGCCTGCCAACCTCTTCGTTTACTATAGTATGTGGTCTATTCTGCAAGCTATTTGTCTTCTGGTTCTCTGGGATTTTCATGGATGAGGCTGTCATTGAATGTCGACATGTTTTCGTGCATACATGGGTATCATTGGTAAATAGTGATCCGTTCTCTTCTTCAACGCCTGCCAACCACCTCTTTTATTATAGTATGTGGGCTATTCAGCAAGCTACTTGTCTTCTGGTGCATTGGGATTTCTATGGATGCAGCTGTCATTGGTAAATAATGGCCCATTCTTTCTTTCAATGCCTACTAACACCCTCTTTCATGTGGGTTATTCAGCGAGCTATTAGTCTTGTGCCCTTTGGATTCTTGATGGATGCAGCTATCATTGGCTGTCAACAGGGGTTTATTCATATGGCTCTCATTGGTAAATAGTAGGTCACCCGTTTTTTGGCTCCAATCCCAACCAACCCCCTCTTTTATTATAGTATGTGTGCTATTCAGCAAACTACTTGTATTTTGGTGAATCTCGTCAGGGTCAAAGAGCAACGTCGACAGCATCCTTCAGTGTCAGCTTGCCTTATTACATCGTTCGATGGTTTTCGTTACTGTACCACCTATTGGACACTTCCTTTTATTTGCATCTGCAGCGGCAAGGCAACAAGTTCTATACCTCTTGGTGTCGCCAAGTTTTGTTTCGTCTTATTGTGGTCCTAGTTGTTGACAACCCTTTCAATGGATATCCTGCTACGCATGCCTGTTATTGGTGGATCATATCAGCTACAAGCAAGAAGCAGCAATGAACAACAGAGCCCACACCTTTAGTGTCAGCAACATTTATTTGATCCTCTGGTGGTTCTCGTTATTGGCAAATTGATTTCAAGAGCCCTCTTCACCGCACGTATCTTATGGATGTATCACATCAGCAACAAACAACAATGTTACGTGTCCTTTTGGTGTTGTCAAGGTGTATCCATCTCTCATGGCATTCATCATCAAGTATCGCTTGGAGAAACGGCTATCAGAATTGGTCACTGTGTCGACATCTCTACAGCAAGGAAATGTGTTCTGATTACTGGGTGGCATCAAACATTGTGGATTCTCATATGACACTGGGTAAGTATTGCTACCATTACCTCAAAGATAAGTTAGTGATATGCAGTTTTATAGGCCCATCATTCCATCAAGCTATAATTTCGCATGCTCTTTGGTGCCATCAAAGTCTCTCGTTACAGTTGTCAATGGTGAATCCTATTGAATTGGAAGACGAAGATCAACATTTCAATTTGGGTGGGTGTCTCAGAAGCAAGCAAGCGATCTCTATCTTATAGTTGCGGTTGTCAAGGATACCGTTTCCATGGTTTTGGAAATCAGCTACTTGCAAGTCGTCTCTTTATCGGTGGATCTTCAGAGCAATGTTTTTATCGGTGCCATGGCGGATCTCATTCCTCAAGTACTTGTATGGATACCTTGGACATTCTCTTGGCAAGTCAATATCCTCGCGTATGCTATTTCATCAAGACCGGATTTATTTGTTGCAGTGCATGATGTGTCTCTCTGATGACGCCAACCTAAAAAGGTCGCTTGATGGCAGCAACTACTGATATGGCGGATGTTTATTTGCTATGGGTAGAACGGGATGGTGCTTTGCTCTTTTGTGTAAAGCATCGTTGGCAGTTATGATTTACATGCGACAGTGTGGTCAGCCCTATCTTGGCCCTATCAATTGCATTTGATGATTGCTGCCTTAGCCGTTGGAAGTTAGACTGTTACTCAGTGGCCTTGTGGTAGATATGGGGTCATGTATTGCTTTTTGCTCTTATGGGTCGGCCTCTGTTGGCGTGGGATGCTATCCTTTTATCAGACCGAACATGTTGGCTCGAGCAGCACCTATAGAAGATGCTGTTGTTTACAATGGCAGCCCCCGTTATCCGGCTTGGTGCACCGTAGGGGAGAGGGTGACGGCAAAGCCTTCGCGTGGCCATCCTTGTCAGTACATGGGTTTCCATGGAAGCTAATTTGCCACCTTATCATTTATGTATTTTTTACGCATTCGTGAGCATCACTAACAGTACTCTAATAGCTATATCAAGTGACCAAAAGGTACAGGCTGGGAGTCGAACCCAATGAGAGATGATGCCCAAAGTTGCACTACCTGACCAAGAACCTATTCAATAATAGCAGCATTCATTATTACAATAAACGCCTTTTCCATTGTCTTTGTTCGCTGCACATACGTTTGTTCATACACATAAAGACCTTTGTTGTTGGGTTGCTGGAAACCGAAAACCATGGTGTAGTGATTTTGAGCCGAAACAAGAAGCCAAACCAGCCAACGCCTTGATACCAAACTTGCCCTCTACGCAAGCTAACACGTCAATGGAACCAGTTCGACTGCAACATTGGACTCTGAATGTACCTGTTGACACCAAGCGTAGAGCGGGAATAGCAACGAGCAAAAGGAAGCAACCATGTCGCCATGGCAACCACCAACCACCAACCACGCTCATTCCTCAGCATTTGGACACACACTCACTCCCTGACAATGCATGTTCAGAACTACATTAACACCTCACAGCCAACAAGAGCACTCTTTGATAATACATTACCTTGATCGAGATGTCGTGAATGGAATAAGGAAAGGTGGGAGAAAAAGAAGAGAAGCGTTGTCTCAAGTCGTGGAGCTGCTGACCCCCAAGTTTAAATCCCCCTACTGCTATTACACTGAGGCCACTCAATGACCCCACACACACCCATCCACCCATCGTCATCATCACCCTCACGATAGACAATCGGTACACGTAAATAAAAGAAATGATCCTCACGTATAGCAAAAGGGTGTGTGCCATTTTACACTTTGCATGATAATGATGATCCCACAACAGCCATTACCTTACTACCAGGTTAGCTCGAATCATGAAAGTTAAATGATGGGCATGCTGGGCTGGAGCAAGACAATCGTTCGTATGCATTGGATTGGACAACAAAGGCGAATGGGAGGAATGGGCTATTAGCTGGCATTTTGAACTATTCCTAAATAGTGTACAAGAATCATGCATCGCCTGTGCTGAATGACTCAAGTTACACAAACACGCCCTCTGCATCTTTTGCTCTATTATAGCCATACTACTTTACATTAAACAAAGACCACTTCTCATATAGCATCACGCTTACAACATAGTAAAAACATAAAGACGCCTGTATCTCTAAACTTCACAATCAAACGTGGGGTTTTTATTAGAGCAATGTGCTCGGCTTGGCCAATTGCACCTGGTGTGTAAGTTTCACGATCAAGCTTGCCAATCCCAGATTTCGCAATGTCGCTACCAGCCAA